CTTACAAATGGCCACCTTCTCACTGTGGCACAAATGGACTTTTCTCTGCACACATTTTTGCTTTCTCTTCCTTTCTCTTCTTTTTCCACACTTTTAGGGTCTCACTCTGTCTCCCAGGCAGGAGTGCAGTGGTGCAGTCATAGTCTATGGTGGCCTTGAACTCCTGAGTGCTAGCAATCCTGCCACCTCAGCCTCCCAAGTAGCTGGGACGACAGGTGCATGCCACCATGCCTGGCTAATATTTTTATTTTTATTTTTTTGTAGAGACAGGGTCTCACTATGTTGCCCAGGCTGGTCATTGGTCTCTAACTCCTGGGCTCAAGTGATCCTCTTGCCTTGGTGTCCAAATTCTGGGATTACAGACCCTGCCTGGCCTCTCTTCTTATGAGAACAACAGTCTTGTTGGATTATGGCCCCACCATTATGACCTCATTTAACCTTAATTACCTCTTAGAGGATCTTATCTCCAAATATAGTCACAATGGGGGTTAGAGAGTCAACATAAGAATTTGGGGGAACACACTTCAGTGTGTTATATAATAGAATATAAAGAAACTGTGAAGATTTCAAAGCATTTTTTTCTTTAGATTTCCAACAAAGTGATAACCACTACAGTGTGTATATGGCCAGAGGATGGGGTGGAAAACATCTGCTTGGCTTCTATGACCCAAAGTGTCCCAATTTGATTTCTTTTTTTTTTTTTTTTCACATATTCCACATGCCCTATTTATTTTTTCCTCTTTCCTGAAGTGGTAGTTTACCACCTGTGTGAAAACAACACAATCCCTTAATGCATTTCAAAGGCACAGAAAGTTTCTGGTAATGTGCAGAGTGAGTCAACTAAGACCAGGGGTAGTTTGCCGGGGGGTCGGATGGGATTGGGGTAGAGTATGGCCTGGTTTAAAATGATTAATTTATGTTAATTACATTGGGACTTTGCTCCCTTGTGCTCCTTGCTCTTCCTAGGCCTCAGTTCTTTACTCTTTCCTTTAGGGAATTCTTGGCTTCCCTTTCTAGGAGCTAAGGTCTTTGGAATAGAGGGTGGTAGGCCAGTCCTTTATCTCTACTCTGTTCTTCCTACCACTGAGTGAGGCACAAATGGAAGTCTCACTCTTAGAAAAGAGAAATAAAAGTGATCTCTATAACAGAAATAAAAGGGCCGGATGTGGCGGTTCATACCCGGAATCCCAGTACTTTGGGAGGCTGAGGTGGGAGGATCACCTGAGCCCAGGAATTTGAGACCAGCCTGGGCAACATGAAGAGGCCCCATCTCTAAAAAAATTAAAATGACAAATAGGTGAATGTGGTGGTGCATGCCTGTAGTCCTAGCTACTTGGGAGGCTGAGGAAAGAGGATTGCTTGAGCCTAGGAGATTGAGGCTGCAGTGAGCTGAGGTTGAGCCACTATATTCCAGCCTGGGTGGCAGAGCAAAACCCTATCTAAAAAAAAAAAAAAAAAAAAAAAACAAAACCAGGAAAAACCCTAAAATGTTTTAATTTCAGTAATTGGAGAAAATGGAAGATCAAAGATTATGGTGGTAAGGAGAGTAGATATTTTATTTTATTTTTTGAGATAGGGTCTCACTCTGTCAGACTGGAGTGCAGTGGCACCATCACGGCTCACTGCAGCCTTGACTTCCTGGGCTCAGGTGATTCTCTTGCCTCAGCCTCCCTAGTAGCTGGGACCACAGATGCCACCACACCTGGCTAATTTTTGTATTTTTTGTGGAGGTGGGGCTTCACCATGTGCTCAGGCTGGTCTCAAATTTCTGGGCTCAACTAATCCTCCTGTCTTGGCCTCCCAAAGTGCTGAGATTACAGGTCTGAGGCACTGTGCCTGGCCAGGGGTAGATATTTTTAAAAGAGCATATTTAGCTTGTGATCTAGAGATAATGAGAGATCTCAGTTGAGAGGGCAGGAATAAAACAGGTTCCCTATCTAAAGGATCCTGACAGGCCTATAGAGCTTGCTTCTATAATTGTTGACATTGGGAGTCACTATCTAGAGATGTCTCCCCACTTCACAAAGCAATACTGAGTGACTTAGAACCTATTCCTGCCACCTTTTTTTAGTTTCCTTGATCTTGAGGGTACAGGATAAGTGTGTTACTAAGTATGTTCCTGGACAAGGAGTTCCTCTGAAGATAGAAGTGATGAGAAGATAGAAGAAAGGGTAATAAGGCATTAATGAACTCTAATCATCCAAGATTGATGATTGGTTCCTGTCTATAGGAATGCTACAGGAACTCTTTTACCCTAAAAGTAAATAATAAAGCACAGTTCCAGTTTCTTTTATGTGGATACAAGGTAGCAGTGACTAGAAAAGATAAGAGCAGTGCTGTGCTCTAGCATAAAAACGTAATTATGCTATGCAATGTAGTAGCCACTAACCACATGTGGCTATTGAGAAGTTACAATGTAATTAGTATGATTAGGTAACTGAATTTTTATTTTTATTATATTTCATCTTAATTTTATTACTTTTAAATAGCCACACATGGCTAGTGCCTTCTGTTTTGAACAGTGTGGGATTCACTGGAATTGATAGGCTGGATATACCTCTAGTTTTTATTTTGATTCAATTTATGGTTAGGTGAGTCTAGAAAGATCAAAAGAGAAAGAGACAATGGAGATTAATAATAATAGCCAGCATTTAATGTGTGCTTATTACATAGTCAGGCAGTTACCTAAACATGTAAAAGGTATTCTATATAATCTTTGCAAAAATAGTACTATTATCGCTATTTTACAGAGGAAAAAATTGAGGCATAATAAGAATTTTCCTTGCGTAGGACCACACAACGAGTAAATAAGGGGTGAAGATGGCATCCATACACAGATAGTTTTATTAGAGCCCATTCATTTACACTATGTAGATTCAGGAATGAGGTGTCATGGAGGGACTGGGGCCATGATTCCCAAACTCTGTGCCAAAGTACAAGCTCACAAGGGTACTGTGGAGTAGTTTTAATTTTCAAAGGAAACACAGCAATATTTTATATTTCTTAAACACTGTGTGACCTATTAACTTGAGGTGATTCACAGTTGGAACACTAGATTGTGCTACATTCCTTTCGATGACAGTATATCTGGTCGGGTGTGGTAGCTCATGCCTATACTCTCAGCACTTTGAGAGGCCGAGGCGGGCAGATCAATTGAGGTCAGAAGTTCGAGGCCAGCTTGGCCAATATGGCAAAACTCTGTCTCTACTAAAAATACAAAAAATTAGCTAGGTGTGGTGGCAGGAGCCTGTAATCCCAGCTACTCGGCAGGCTGAGGCAAGAGAATGGCTCAAACCCAGGAGGCAGAGAATCCAGTGAGTCAAGATCATGCCACTGTACTCCAGCCTGGGTGACAGAGTGAGACCCTGTCTCAAAATATATATATACAGACAACATATCTTTACAAAAGATGGTTTTAGAAAGTCCCTCTGATAAAAATTAAGTACTATGTAAAAAAAAAAAAAAAAGTACTGTGTAAAAATCAGCATGGAACAGAAATTGAGGGTGGCAGCATTGGATTCCAACATGTGAGAAGTTGAGTAGTGCCAAACAGATGCACACATCCCATAAGTAACTATTTGTGGTTATTTAAGAACGAAATATTTTTCTTTCAATTTGTGTGCATTGTTATTTTCAAAGTGCTAATAAGTTCTCAGGAACCAGCCACTCGCTCTGTTGTCCAGGCTGGAGTGCAATGGTGCGATCTCAGCTCACTGTAACCTCTGCCTCCCAGGTTCAAGCCATTCTCTCTGCCTCAGCCTCCCAAGTAGCTGGGATTACAGATGCCTGCCACCATGCCCAGCTAATTTTTTGGATTTTTAGTAGAGACGGGGTTTTGCCATGTTGGCCAGGTTGGTCTCCAACTCCTGACCTCAGGCGATCCGCCCACCTCGGCCTCCCAAAGTGCTGGGATTACAGGTGTGAGCCACCGCGCCTGACCTTCATATATATATATGTGTGTATATATATATATATATATTTTTAATATTACAGATATTGTTTTTATTCTTGTGTCCCTAGCACTAGAACAGTACTGGTGCATAGATGATGCTCAATAAATATTTGTTAAATGAATGAGAAAAACAGTTGGAAAATAGTGGCTGGCCACAGAAGTGGGTAAAACGGCAAGCTGAAAGAGTTTGGAGGAGGGAAGAAGTGGAAGATTCCAATAGCTAAGAAAGGACCATTGATTTGTGATTTGATGTAAGGTTGGTTAATTTGTAAACGTGGGGAGAAGAAATAGTTGTATTCTACCAAAGACACGCTATTTATGTTATATTCTGGTACCCATGTATTCTGATAACAGAATTTTCCTCTTGGGAAGAGTCCTCTAGTTACCTGAATTGCTTGGATCAGTATTGTGCAGATCAAGGGATTATCTGTGTCCCTACCCACCAAATCCATCCTCATCCTTTCCGTCGGCATCTAGGACCCAGGAATTCTTGCCTGAGAACTTTTTCTTCTCCCGGTCTGGGCCTGGATGTGCTCTCCTAAACCCTGTATCCTCCAAGTAAGAACTGTTGCCAGGGGCGACCCAGCTTCCCTTGTCCAGGCAGCAACTCAGACACAGGCTCGCTTCATTTTTATTCTGGGGTTGTGCAATCTAAGGTTTGAAATTTTTTTCTTTTTGAATCTCTCACTGTTTGCTATTGACACAGCTGGAATGAGGTTGCAGGGAGAGAGCTGGGGGCTTTCCTCTCGACTTCTAGCCCTATTTCCGCATAGGCCTTCTTGCTGGGAATTCCTGCCCTGAGGACTGGAATGGGTACGGAGATGAAATGCTGGGTGCGCTCCGGTCCGCCCCCCAACCCCGCGCCTCGAGGGAGAAGGTTTAGGGCTGGGAAGAACTCCGATTAGATTTACAGCCCAGGTTCAGCCGATTGAATTAGGGTGTGTCACCATGGAGACGGGGCCGGCCCGCGTGCTCGCTTGCCATTGGCTGGGGACTCCAGGGCTGGGGATATAAGCCAGAGCCTAGAACAGTGAGCGAACTGTGCGGACCAGACCGGGCAGCCTTGCTCAGTTCAGCATAGCGGAGAGGATCGGAGCGGATCGGAGCGGATCGGAGCGGATCGGAGCACACCGGAGCACACCGGAGCAGGTTCATCGAGAGGGCTGCTGCGAGACCATGGAGAACGGGTGAGGCGGGCATCAGGCCCGCAGGACCCTTGGGGAGGGGCGGGTGCTGTGAGACCCGGGAACCTGGCACACTGGGCCCAGAGGGAGCCGGGGAAGGGAGCGAGCGCCCAGGGGATGCAGAGAGGCCTGGCACGGAGCCTGTTGTCGGGGGCAAGGCGGCAGAGTCATGTGGCAGCCAGCGCGGGCAGGGACGCACGCGGGAGTCGAGCTGGGGTGGCGCCACCGGAGCAGGAAGGGGACAGTTTGGTGCGGTCTAAGCTACTCCGTAAAAGCAGCCGTTGTGTGTCTCCGTGTGTGTGTTAGGGGTACAAGTGGAGAATGAGTGTATGGATATATATGTATATATATCCCTCACTCCATACCAGGAGGAGGTGTCCTCACCCCCTGCGTTCTTCATAAATTCCCATGCTAGGGTCTGGGTAAAGCTGCGAGGTACTTTGGTGCTCAAATTCGGAGTTCCTCCTTTAGAGGAAAGATTGCTCACCTCCTTTGCCAGTTGCACTCCTTCCTTCCTTCCAGACGGGAAGTGTGATAAACTCAGTGGGAACTGACTCCTAAGTGGAGAAGGAAATTAGTCATCGAACTGAGCAACAGTCCTTTGCTCACTCCCCCCACCCCAGGCCTTTGAAAACTCTTCTCTCTGCTTTGGTCCTGGATGTCCCAGTCCAAGTGGCCTGCATTAGGCATCACAGTTGCTTTTGGATGCTCAGGGAGCCAGGGTGTTCTTGTGGGGACTGATAGCCAATGAGGAAGTGCTATGAGTTGTAGCTAGACATGCCATGTGGTGGCAGCTTCACACACCATTCATTTCCTTTGCACCTTTTGGGGACGCCATTTGATTAACATTTCACCAACTTAATTGCTTCTCTCCATTATCCTGTGGCTGTGTTGACCAGCCCCCAACCTACCGTATCCAACTGCTTCCCTGAGGGTAGCCTGGTGTATTGTGCAATCATATCTGGTTTCCTAGGCTCTGCTTTGGGAGTAAAAAATTTCCTGTGAAAGCTTGGTTAGTTATGTTCAGCTCTGTCACACCTCATTGCCACCTCTGAAGGCAACCTTTGGTCTTCCCAGATGAGTGTGAGAGAACTGGACTTGGAAATGGAAGAAAAGTAACACGGGTTGATTCTTGCTAGTGTAGGGGTTCTGGGTAAGTGACCTTAGGTTCCTGAAGAGCAAAGATCCTCGGTGGAGAGAAAGGAAACTGGAAGAAGGCAGGGAGGGGGAAGGACAGGAAGAAGACCACAGGCAGGTGGAAAGCAGGAGAAAAGTTCAAATACTGTGTGTAACAGAGCCATAGGTCTTTGGAGGTTGTTAGCAAGTATTCAATTCATTTTCAGATCGAGCCTATAAGGTAGATGGGGCCAATTTACATTCCCTTGTTTATACCTGAGAAAATAATTTGGAGCACAAATTACATGCCTAAAAAGACAATATTGAGACTAGAATCTAGGTTGAGTTCTGCTTCCCTCTAGACCAGCAATTCCTAAACTTAGTTTTATTTTTATTTTATTTTATTTTTATTTATTTATTTTTTGAGTCGGAGTCTCTTTCTGTGGCCCAGGCTGGAGTGCAGTGGAGTGATCTTGGCTCACTGCAAGCTCCGCCTCCTGGGTTCACGCCATTCTCCTGCCTCAGCCTCCCCTGTAGCTGGGACCACAGGCGCCCGCCATCACGCCCGGCTAATTTTTTTTTTTTTTTTTTTTGTATTTTTAGTAGACGCGGTTTCACCGTGTTAGCCAGGATGGTCTCAATCTCCTGACCTCGTGAACCCGCCTCGGCCTCCCAAAGTGCTGGGATTACAGGCATGAGCCACCGTGCCTGGCCCCTAAACGTGGTTTTAAAATCAAAATTACATGGGCTTCAGAATCCGTTTTTTGGTTTGTTTTTTGTTTTGTTTTTTGTTTTTTATATAGGGTCTCACTCTGTCACCAGGCTGGAGTGCCAGAATCTGTCTTTCTAACAAGCGTCTGCTGAGAATTAGTGTAGTCAGTCCTGGTTTAGCCTTTTGACAACCAGTACTGTGGACTGGGTCTGCTTTTTTGTACAGCAGCTTATCTAGTTTCTTGTCTGGAATTAACCCCTTTGTGATCTGGGGAGCTAAGAATGGTATGTAGACCTCTACCAGGTGTGTTCTCATTGTGTTTTATTGGTTTGAAAAAAAAAAAAAAATGTAGCCCTTAAGTCTTTGGCTGAGGAAGGAACTGGAGGGATAAGAGTTCAAAAGGAAATCTGAGTTTATCCCTGCCTTCTTGGTAGTTGGTCTTAATTACATTTTGAATGTCTTTGGGGAATAGGTAAGGTAATAAGGGGAATTTTACTAGGTGGTCACCACCCTCAGGAAGGGCTTAATCCTATTTTGAGTACTCTTGTTGGGCTCCCTCCTGGTCAAGCCCTTTTACCCATCCTAATTTGATTATTTCATTGCACTTCCCTGTAGACTCTGATCCCTTCCTCTCTAAACCTTTGTCATAAGGATAAGTATGCAACTTGCCAGTGTTCAGTAGATCCAACACTGGAGTTGGGTCTGTTAGTAGAAACAGGCTTTATTAATTTTTGCCAGGCTCTGGAATGGAGGGAGTTTCATATCAGACTTGTAGTGGGCTTGATTCAGAAAGAAGGGTGGCTGAGTAGATGGGTGAGCATAGTATGGCCTCTCCCTCTGTGCCAACTTCTCTGTCCCTGCTGCCTCAGTGTACCTGCCAGCCTTTTTGCACCAAAGGTCATTTGTCTGTGATGCCCTTGGAATGGGAGCAGAATTCACCTTGATGTTTTTTCTCCCCTAGATACACATATGAAGATTATAAGAACACTGCAGAATGGCTTCTGTCTCACACTAAGCACCGACCTCAAGTTGCAATAATCTGTGGTTCTGGATTAGGAGGTCTGACTGATAAATTAACTCAGGCCCAGATCTTTGACTACAGTGAAATCCCCAACTTTCCCCAAAGTACAGGTACTGGCAAGTGAAAGCAGGGAATGGGACTGAGGGATGTTATTGGGATTCTGTGGAACACAACCAAGGAGGCCAACGTTTCTACTCCTTGACCTAGCATTTCACTGAAGACAAATGTTGTAAGAGAGGAGAAAAGCCCACCGTGAGTCAGAATGACTCAGGAGATTCCTCTAGCAGACATCCCACAAGAGACAGGGCATGTGTGTGTCAGTGGACTGAGACTAAGACTTAGAAGAGGGCCAGGTGACAGGGGCCAAGTAAAGGGCAAGGGTCATTTATTTGGTTTACTTAATTTCTCAAATAATTAACTTCTGTTGGTTTATTTATTAATTTTTAAGATTTCTTTCTTCTTTTCCCTGGAGAGTTAAGAATTTTTTTTAAGACCTGACAGCAGGAAAAGATTTTTAATAGCTATTTTTTTAAACCCTTTGAAACAAGACTGGGAGTGCAGAGGGGGAAGGTGTGGGAAACATTAAGAGAGGGTGTGTGAAGGGCATACTTCTTTAAGGGAGATAGTAGTGACGTTGGCTCCATTGGCCACTCCTACCCCCAGTGAGAAGGGCACTGCATTAAACGATAAGGGGGTTAATTTTTTTAAGCTTATCAACATGTTTATTTTTTATACTCCACTTGGGTTTCCTATGTCAACTTTATTACTGTTTTTGTTTCATTTTGGGTTTTTTTGCATAAGCTCCTCTATCTTTGAGAATTCCTCAGCTCTTCCTCTTGGTTCTGGTCCCTCTCCCATTCCCTAAGGGATAGGTTGACCATCTATTAGAAGAGACTGCCAGATAAGGGAGTGGTAATAATGGCTGTTATGTCTGTGGGGAGTTATCTTTGCGCTCCCACGCACCCCTACATGGACATGTGTTCCCGTAGGACTGTCCTATGGGTCATAAGGAAAGAGACTTGCATGTGTTCAAATTCTTTTCCCCTAGTTCAGTAGCCTCTTCTTTAGGAAGCCAGAGTAAGTATACTATGAGCTTGCTTGCTGGACTGAGGAGGTAGGTAATTAAGTTAGGGCAATATATAAGAATACATGTTTTGAGAACTTTGAAAAATTTGAAGAGGTCTGTAATTACTGCATTCACTTTTTTTTTTTTGAAAAGGAGTCTCACTCTGTCACCCAGGCTCAAGTGCAGTGGTGTGATCTCGGCTCACTGCAACCTCCGCCTCCCAAGTTCAAGTGATTCTCCCACCTCAGCCTCCCAAGTAGCTGGGATTACAGGCGTGTGCCACCACACCTGGCTAATTTTTGTATTTTTAGTAGAGATGGGTTTTCACCATGTTGGCCAGGGTGGTCTTAAACTCCTGACCTCTTGATCCACCTGTCTTGGCCTCCCAAAGTGCTGAGATTACAGTCGTGAGGCACCTCACCTGGCCTATTTTTTATTTTAATTTTTATAGATTTACAGGGGTACAATGCAGTTTTGTTATATGGATATACTGCATGGTGGTGAAGTCTGTGCTTTAGTGTAACCATCACCTGAGCAGTGAACATTGTACTCATTAGGTAATTTCTCATCCCTCATCCCCCTCCCACTTTCTCACTTCCGAGTCCCCAGTGTCTATTATTTCTGTAAGTCCATATGTATATGTTTGGTTCCCACTTACAAGTGATAGCATGTGGTATTGAACCTTCCATTTCTGAGTATCTACTTTTTTATACTCACTTGTTACTCTCTGGCAGTATGGCTTGTATTATCTTGAAATTTCTTTAAAAAGCCCTTCCTACTTTGGATGTTCATGCTGAACATCTTTACCCCATATCTCTAATCTCAGGTTGTATAATTATGAGTAATGCCTGGCTCTCCCACCAGACTTAAACTTTCTGAAAGCAGAGATAATAATGAGTCTTTTACTTAATTATATCCTAACATTTTGAGCAGAGCGAGTAACTCACAGTAGGTGCTCAATGGATATGTGTTGCATGAAAGTATAATCCCATTCATTTCTCTTTCTTTTTTGTATACAGTGCCAGGTCATGTTGGCCGACTGGTGTTTGGGTTCCTGAATGGCAGAGCCTGTGTGATAATGCAGGGCAGGTTCCATATGTATGAAGGGTACTCGCTCTGGAAGGTAAATCAGGGGAATAGGCTGGTTGGATCTGGAAGAGGCAGGAGAGAACTATCTAGCCTCTTTCACTACCTAGCTATCTGGGTTAGGTGGATTTTTGGTCCCCTCCTTCCTTTTCTTTCACGATGTATATCATGCATTTCCGTGTAGCTGGATTGATGAAATTTTGTAAAAATTTTTTCTGATCTTTTGCTTCGAAGGTGACTTTCCCAGTGAGGGTTTTCCACCTTCTGGGTGTGGACACCCTGGTGGTCACCAATGCAGCAGGAGGGCTGAACCCCGAGTTTGAGGTTGGAGATATCATGCTGATCCGTGACCATATCAACCTACCTGGTTTCAGTGGTCAGAACCCTCTCAGAGGGCCCAATGATGAAAGGTATGTATCTTACTCTGTTTTTTTCAGATGGGTAGGATTTAAGGACTTCTCTAGGAGCCTTGGGAGAATTTTTAAAATTCCATTTATGTGAGATAATTCAACCTGTGTCCTAGGTTTGGAGTTCGTTTCCCTGCCATGTCTGATGCCTACGACCGGACTATGAGGCAGAGGGCTCTCAGTATGTGGAAACAAATGGGGGAGCAACGTGAGCTACAGGAAGGCACCTATGTGATGCTGGCAGGCCCCAGCTTTGAGACTGTGGCAGAATCTCGTCTGCTGCAGAAGCTGGGAGCAGATGCTGTTGGTGAGAAGGGGAATTTGGCTGGAGGCTTGAAGACGGAGGGATTTAGCAAAATGGGACTGGGAAGGAGTAGGAGATAACAGGCCTCATTGGATTGAGAGGATCTGATTTCAGGGAAGGGTGAATTAAACTGACTTCTTGAAATACAAAGTGGTGAGATTTGGTGTAGCATCAAATCTCCTTACGAAGCACCAAGGAGTTAACAGCTGCAGTGCTAATGAATGACCTATCCATGATTTGATGGCTGTTTCGTTTTTCTTTTTTTTTTTTTTTTGAGATGGTGTCACGCTCTGTCACCCAGGCTGGAGTGCAGTGGCATGATCTTGGCTCACTGCAACCTCTGCCTCCCAGGTTCAAACAATTCTCATGCCTCAGCCTCCCAAGTAGCTGGGATTACAGACGTGTGCCACCAAACGCAGTTAATTTTTGTATTTTTAGTAGAGACGAGGTTTCACCATGTTGGCCAGGCTGGTCCTTGAACTTGTGATCTCAGGTGATCCGCCCATCTCGGCCTCCTAACATGCTGGTATTACAGGCGTGACCCACTGCACCTGGCCAATTTGATGACTGTTTCTAAGAATTCTAAAAAATTCACTATAGCCACCTTCTGTACCTCTAGCTGAAGATGGAACTCTATCATTAGGATTGACTTCAAAATTGCCACAAATACAGAAATGAAGCATTGCACTGGTGATTTTAAGAAATGTGTATTTATTTTAGGCAATACAGAAGAACATACCTCAACAATAATTTAGCTGCTTCTTTGGATTTGTTTTAGGTGGGACCTTGCTCTGTTGCCAAGATTGGAGTGCAGTGTCACCGTCTCTAGCTCACTGCAGTTCTAGCTGCCTGGGCTCAAACAATCCTCCCACCTCAGCCTCCTGAGTAGCTAGGATCACAGGCATACACTACCACATCTGGCTAATTTTATTATTTTTTGAACTGAGGTCTCACTATGTTGCCCAGGCTGGTTTCAAACTCATGGGCTCAAGACATCCTTCTGCTTTGGCCTCCAAAAGTGCTGGGATTACAGGTGTGAACCGCTGCACCTGGCCATTACAGGCATGAACCACTATTGCACCTGGCCATCTTTGGATGTTTTTTGAGATTTTTAATTCTTGTTGAAAGTGAGGCTAAAGGGCAAGGAAAAGAGTTATTTGAGGATCCTGACAGTTGGTTTCCATCTTTCTCACCATCAGGCATGAGTACAGTACCAGAAGTTATCGTTGCACGGCACTGTGGACTTCGAGTCTTCGGCTTCTCACTCATCACCAACAAGGTCATCATGGATTATGAAAGCCTGGAGAAGGCCAACCATGAAGAAGTATTAGCGGCTGGCAAACAAGCTGCACAGAAATTGGAACAGTTGGTCTCCATTCTTATGGCCAGCATTCCACTCCCTGACAAAGCCAGTTGATCTGCCCTGGAGTGGTCTGGCATCTCTCACACAAGATCCAAGTAGCTGCTACCTTCTTTGACCTCTTGCTGGAGTCACGTGCCTCTGTCCTTAGGTTGTAGCAGAAAGGAAAAGATTTCTAGCCTTCACCTTTCCCACTTTCTTCCACTAGACCCTTCTAGTGCCAGATCCTCTTCTCACAGCTGGGATTACAGGTGTGAGCATAGTGAGACGTTGGCGCTACAAAATAAAGCTGTTCTCATTTCTGTTCTTTCTTATACAAGAGCTGGAGCCCATGCCCTACCACGCATCTGTGGAGGTGCCCAGGATTTGACTTGGGCCTTAGAACTTTGCACAGCAGCTGCTACTAGCTTTTTGAGATAATACATTCCTGGGGGCTCTGTTCTGCCTTATCTAAATCACCAGAGACCAAACAAGGACTAACCCAATACCTCTTGGACTTTATTTAATGTCATAATGTTGTCAGAATAAAGAGAAAGATGAAATAGTTTCATTTTTTGTGTAGCTTGGGATGGGGCTGAGGCACAGGACAAGATTGACATGAAAGGATGTGAGACCACGTCTTGTGTGACTATCTGCTTCTCAGACAAGTAATTAGGAACTGAGATGAGATAGTATGTGAGTGTAGCAAAGGATGAAGAAGGGCAAAATGATGAAAGGTGGGAAAGAGGTTACAAGATGGTAAGGAAAAGTTAACTTCTGGCACTTGATGGCCACTTCCGTCAGGCTAGTCCTTCCTCTCTCCCTTGCCTTCTGATTGTTTCATTTCCTGTCTATTTGATCATAGCTGAATCAGTTCACTGATTAGCCTCTTCCTTAGTTCCCGCTTCCTTACCAAAGCCCTAATTATATTTCCTCTTGTTTGCCTCTTCTCTCCTACTCTTCTCTAACGTCAGTAACCACACTCTCCATTCACTCCATTCTGACAAGGCAGTGGTAAATGCCTCTCTCTGCTGTCAGCCACTCTGTTGTTCATTGGATTGCTGCCAGCCCCAGGCAAACCTGTGAAGTTGGTTCACACTCTGCTTCTCTTTGAGTGTCTGCTTCTGTCCTTCCACTTCCTTTCTGGGCTCCAGTCTTTCTCTTTACTTGGTCAGAACCTCCCTGTGATACTGTATCCAGGCATTTCCCCCTTGTTGGCTCACTGCACTATTATCTTTGCTTATCAACTTGCATTCAGCTGGCTGGCATGTTTCAAAACCACACTGCCCTCCCAGGCCTGTGTGCCTTTTGAGAAAGACCAGTCTGGAGGAGCCTCTAGTAGTGACAACATTTTAGTTGTTAGTGGTATAATACGGAAGAGATATTTTGCACAGGCTGCTTTGGAGAACTTTCAAATTATCCTTTGTTTGGTTAACTGACCTACTTAACTGCCCAACACAAAGAAAAAGCATCTTGGAGTGGCTCGGTCTCTTGTTTTGATACAGGGTCTCACTCTGTCACCCAGGCTGCAGTGCGGTGGTGTGATCTCAGTTCACTGCAACCTCCGTCACTCAGGCTTAAGTGATCCTCTCACCTCAGCCTCCTGAGTAGCTGGGACCACAGGTGCATGCCACCACATCTGGCTAATTTTTGTATTTTTTGGTAGAAATGGAGTTTCGTCATGTTGCTGAGGTTGGTCTCAAACTCCTGGCTAAAAGCAATCCTCCTGCTTCGGCCTACCAAGGTGCTAGGATTACAGGAGTGAGCCATCCTCCTGGCCTTGCTCTACAATCTTAAGATTCATTTACAAGGTCACCGTTGTATAACACTTGTACAAAATGAGTACAAAGTCACACGTGGGAGCTCAAAGGAGGGACTGATTGTATACACCCAACAGTGAGAATTGGGTAGATTAGGGAAAGTTTTTTTTTTTTTTTCTTTTTTTCTTTTGCTTAAAGTGGTGGATACTTAGGTAAAGTTTTATAGAAAACTTTGAGCCTAGTCTTGAAGGATGAAGCAGGGGAAGAGGATTTCACGTCAGGATGAGCCAAAGCAGAGCCGCAAAAAGTACTAGGCATGTTCATGAGTCATTGTCACAACTGGTGTGACTAGAGCAGGACATGAAAGGCTCTAGTGAGACAGGCAGAAAGGTAATTGGTTTGAGGAGAGCTGCATTTGGTACTTGGCTTTCCTACCCCAATCTGTCTCTTGGTCAGACTGACCAGGAATCAGAATGGGGCCATCTGAAAAATATGTCCTAGAGATAATTGAGTGGAATGTTTAAGAGCATTGTAAGCTTTTTAGATTTAGTAAGTAGATTTGCTAAATTTGTATTTATTTATATGAAGACATAATGTATTCAGTCTCTCTTTTTTTTTTTTTTTTTTTTTTGAGATGGAGTCTCACTGTGTCACACAGGCGGGAGTGCAGTGGCGCAATCTTGGCTCACTGCAAACTCCGCTTTCCGGATTCATACCATTCTCCTGCCTCAGCTTCCCAAGTAGCTGGGACTACAGGTGCCTGCCACCACGCCCAGCTAATTTTTTGTATTTTTTAAGTAGAGACGGGGTTTCACTGTGTTAGCCAGGATGGTCATGATCTCCTGACCTCCTCGTGATCCGCCTGCCTCAGCCTCCCAAAGAGCTGGGATTACAGGCGTGGGCCGCCGCGCCCAGCCTATTCAGTTTCTTTTTAAAAAATAGCTGTATTGAGATAAAATTTACATACCACAGAATTCACCCATTTAAGGTCTGCAATTCAATGGTCTTTCGTGTATTCATAAATAAGCACAATTATTACCAGTTATTTTGAGATCATTTCATCATTTCAAAGGGAAACCTTATCTGCTTCCCCATAGCCCCAAACAACCATTGATCTACCTTCTGTGTCTATAGATTTAACTACGTTGGACTTTCACACTAATGAAATTGGACTTTTGTGGCTGGCTTCCTTCACTTAGCATAATGTTTTCAAGATGCATCCAAGTTGTAGCATGTATCAGTACTTAATTCCTTTTTGTGACCAAGTAATATTCTATGGCATGGATACACCACATTTTGTTCATCAAGTGTCTGATTTTAAAAAGCCAACCAGTCCAGCCAAAGCTGAATGTATCAGTTTAGGATTGTAGGATACGAGCACACAGTGAAGGGAAGTAGGTGTGGGAGAGCTTCCCAGAGAAAAGACATTCTTGAAAAAAACTGGTGATGATACCATTCGTTTCTGGAGGGGCCTGCAGAATGCCTGCAAAAGAGATTGATTTTACTGAATCTTATGGTAGATGTCCAAACACATTGAAGTCAGGCTTGTTTTCTTGACCTTATCATGATCATCTTTATTAGCATCAATAAGTATTCATTAATCATGTATTAATGTAGAGAACATTGTCCTAAAAACCAAAATGTAAGTTGGTATAAGATGAAGTGCCTGTAGTCTAGATGTGAGATAAGATGTATGCATGAAAAAGAAATAACTAGGCTGAGTTATTTGAGTCCTTTACAGCTGCTAAAGACTATTACTAGTCTCTTCAAATGTTATATTGTCATTGTTTAGAATCAGCTTTTTTGACTGAACTGAGGAAGAGGGCCTAATTTTTTAAAAAAGGAATACAGTAATGTGTGAAAAGTAGCGTATGCTAAGTGTCAATGATGGTATGTGCTACAGAACTCAGAGAAGAGGACCATCACCAGAGTTGGGGAGTAGGAAAGGATTGTTGAGACATTATTTAGGCCTTACAGAAATGCCAGGCATGGTAGCTCATGCCTATAATCACACATACTAGGTGGGAGATTTACTTGAGCACAGGAGTTTGAAGCTGGAGTGGGCTTTGTCATTGCGGCACTGCACTCTAAGTGAGAGAGTAAGACTCCACCTTTGAAAAAAAAAAAAAAGGTAGGTTAAGAGGACATAGCAGAGAGCATTACATACAGATGAATCCAGAAATGTTTAATCATTTAACAAATTGAAATAGTTAAAATGAAGAAATAAATGGGAGTATGGGCAGTAGGGTAGAGAGGAGCTCTGATTCCAGGCTCAAGAGTAGGACCTTAGGGCCAGGCACAGTGGCTCACACCTGTATCTCAGCACTTTGGGAGGCCAAGTTGGGCAGATCGCTTGAGCCCAGGAGTTCAAGACCAAGTTCAAGACCAGCCTGGGCAAATGGGGAAACCTTGTCTCTACAAAAAATACAAAAATTAGCTGGATGTGGTGGTGGATGCCTATGGTCCCAGCCACTTGGGAGGCTGAGGTGGGAGGATTGCTTGAGTTGGGGAGGCTGAGCCTTCAGTGAGCCATGATGGAGCCACTGCACTCCAGCCTCAGCAACAGAGCGAGACCCTGTTCTCTAAAAAGCAAAACAAAACAAAAGAGTAAGACCTTATTTTCTAAGCAAGATGGCCAGCCATTGACAGTTTTTAAACTAAGGACTGGTAGGTGAAAATTGCACTATAGCATTTTGGTGGCTAGAAGCCTGACTAAAAGAGAGGCTTGTTTTGATAGTAGAATTACTTTCACCCAAAATTAACCGTATAGAATAGCATAATGGTTGGTGTTAAGTATTTAATTTTTAGTCAGGTTGGGGTCTTCTGTAGCATTTTAAAGAATAAACTTGGCCGGGCACGGTGGCTCACGCCTGTAATCCCAACACTTTGGGAGGCTAAGGCGGGCAGGTCAGGAGATCGAGACCATCCTGGCTAACACGGTGAAACCCCGTCTCTACTAAAAATACAAAAAATTAGCTGGGCATGGTGGTGGGTACCTGTAGTCCCAGCTACTCAGGAGGCTGAGGCAGGAGAATGGCGTGAACCCAGGAGGTGGAGCTTGCAGTGAGCCGAGATGGCGCCACTGCACTCCAGCCTGGGTGACAGAGCAAGACTTTGTCTCGAAAGATAAAGATAAAATAAAATAAAAAAGAGTAAATTAGCCAGGCACAGTGGCTCATGCCTGTAATCCCAGCACTTTTTGAGACAAGCCTAGGCAACATAGTGAGACCCTGTTTCTATAAAAAACTTAAAAATTAGCTGGGCATGGTGTTGCACACCTATAGTCCCTGCTATTCGGGAGGCTGAGATAGGAGGCTAGCTTGAGCCTGGGATATCGAGGCTGTAGTGAGCTGTGATCATACCACTGCACTCCAGCCTAGGTGACAGAGCAAGACTGTCACCAAAAAAAAAAGACTAAGCTGTTATAAAGTAAAATGTAAAGGCAAAAGTGCAAACAACTTAGAGATGAAAATACACACTTAAGTCAATAGTTTCTTTTTAATATAAAATTGTGAATAGGTATATAATCACATAGTTCAAAAATTAAGCAACATAAAATGTGTTTAGTGAGAACTCTCACCTCCATCCTGTTCTCATACGCCCTTCCTTCCTTACCCACTGGTAACCAGCGTTATTAGTTTCTTTTGCATTCTTCCAGGATCTATATAAACATAAACAAATACAAATTCTATTTTTCTTCTCTTGTTATAAACAGTACTTAGTATGTTATATATATTTTCTGTATCTTGCTATTTTATTTGAACGTATCTTGGAGATCTTTTCACATCAGTGAGTTAGTGTGCTTTCTTGATGACTTACATCAATGCTGCCAAGGATATGTGTCTGTCACCTCCAGTTTTTTAGAAGCAAAGGAAGAATATGGTCTTAATTTTTTTGCCACTTCTCAGTTCGTTCGTTGATTACTAATAGGAATAGACACAAAGAGATAATGCCACCTGCTGCTCCTTTAAAGCAAGAAGGTGGGAAGAAGACAGCTATTCATTTTGTGCTGTGCCTTCTGCCGAATTCGATTTGGCTTAGATTTGTGTTGCCTTTTTTTTCTTGCAAATAGGCCCCTGATTTTCATAATAATGTTTTGTTTCTAAGGGACGCCTTTGAACAAACACTGGTTATCTGCTTGGTTTTTCTGTTATTGTAAATTTGGATTTTAATAAAAATAGACATTTTCCTGTCTTTAATCAATTTGTCTTTTAGTTTGGCATAAATTAGAGTTGATATTCTTCTGGATTAATCTGAATTTGCTCTCTTGTTTTCAGGTCAAAGAACCCGTACCCCTCCACTGTGCTTTTACACTCACGTTCATTCTGAGTCTGTTTGTTCATTCTAGAAAGCTTTTATTTTATCTCACTTGCCAATGTTTTTTTTTTTTTTCTTGTTCTCTTCCTCTTTTTGCTGTTACTCTTTTTAAAACACAGTTTCACTTGCTAGCTACTTGATTTTGGCCTTGGTTTTCCCTTTTCCTCTTTTATTTGAACTGTTTCTATCTAAGCTCCTGTTGTAATTTATAATAAAAGGTTAGTAGAATATAGTACTTGTCTTGTGTAGCCTGACCTGATCTAGTTCTATTAACTATTCTTTTATCTGTCAGAGATTGTTTAAGGTCAATTCTGGTTCACAGTATTAATCTTTATTATTGTCTGCCTGTGTCGTCTCCCCCAAAATAATAATACATAGCTACCACCATTGTTACTGTTCCACTAATGTCATCAAAGTATGAAAATTATTTAATTGTGATCAAAGGAATAAACTTGACATTTGGCACAGTAGTTGTTTTTCATACGGTTGTTTTGCAGTGGGAAAGCTCTTACTCTGGACATCATAGATAAGATGTTATGGAGTCAGTAAAGTCCCTGAAAAGCAAAATTGAGTTATGCCTGAAATTTTTTAGGCAGGCAGGTCATTAGATTTCCTTCGATGCTTACTTTGCCAAATTCCCCTCCCCCTCACAAATAGAAACGGCTAGTATTAAAAAAGACAGAATTATGGTAAGAGTAATTTTGGATATTTTCTGTCAATCTGCCATTCTTTATGGTTGTCCAGCTTCTTAACTATTTGTTATCTACAGACTCTTCACTTCAGGATACACCCTATGGCTGTTAGCTGGTCTCTCAAAGATCGAAGGCTTGTTAGCTGGTCTCTCAAAGATATAGGAAACTGATCCCTGCTTCAGTTCCACAATACTGAGTGCAAGAATGTTCTCAGACCAGGATATGCTGAGAGAGATGCCTTAGAGAACCAAACTGTTCTCTAAGACCCAGCGATAGTACTGTCATTATATAACCCTTAGACACATGAGATACCTCTGCCCAAGGAGGGGTTCTAGGCAGATTCACCCTTGTTTACGAGCACAGATAGGCTGTATCGAGAGAGACTAAATTTCTGTGGAGTCTTCTCACTCATTTAGGAGTTTTCCGTAACAATGCACACTTTTGGTGAAGATGTTGGAGTCAAGATGTACTTCTGTCTGAATTGGAAAATGTGTTCACTTTTCTGACTGAGCTGACTTTATGCCATGCCCTTTGGATAAATAACCTTGTTTGATTTATTCAAGTGACATTGTGTCAGGTCTTGCTATCAATCTGTACCTAGTATTGACATTTGTAAATGTAATGGCCATTCAGTTTCTAGATAACCATAACATTTACTTGACAACTCTGTATTGCACTTACACTCATTCATTTTTTTTCTGCATTTGCTTTGAACTTTATCCTTTTGATAATCAGATGCATTAAGCCTCATATAGAAATGTCAGGATGTGTGTGTATGTCTATGTGTGCATATACATACACAAACATATGTATACATATATGCATATACGCAAAAACCAAAACTGACAATTTATAAACTGTCATCTGCATGAAACCTGGAAGAAGCTGAGCTTTTCAGCTTCTCAATGTTCCAGACAGGGCACCTATGAAGTGTATCTTTCTAGGCTGCTGAACAAGAAGAGATGAACACATGAGGAGGATATGTTTACTTGCTTACTCAACAAACGTTCTAGGGGTTAGGGATATGGAGAAGAACAAGACAATATTTCTGCCTTCATGGTATTTACATTAAATTAGGGGAGTCAGACAACCAATAAATATAAATGTTTTTAAAAACCTAAGGTAATAATAAGTGTTAAGGAAAAAAATAAAGAGGATGGAAGGTAATAGAGGAAGGAAAGGCAAATTAAAACTACAATGAGATTCCACTTCACACTCACTAAAATGACTATAATAAATAAGACACACATTAACAAATGTTGGTGAGGATGCAGAAAAACAAGAATCTTTTTAAATTGTGGAATTTCCATTTTCTGGTAGAAATGTAAAATGGTGTAGCCAGTTGGAAAACAATTTGTCAGTTTCTCAGAAGGCAAAGCACAAAACTACCATACGACCCAGCAATTCTACTTGTAGCTGTCTGCCTAAGAGAAATAAGAATATAACCACACAAACATACACAAATGTCCACAGCAACTTTTAAAATAATAAAGACTGGAAACATCCTAAATGCCCATCAACTGGTAAATGGATTTTTTAAAAAATGTATATCTAGGCCGGGTGTGGTGGCTTGTGCCTATAATCCCAGCACTTTGGGAGGCTGGGGCAGGTGGATCACTTGAGGCCAGGAGTGTAAGACCAGCCTGGCCAACACAGCAAAACCCTGTCTCTACTAAAAATACAAAAATTAGCCAGGCATGGTGGCATGCACCTGTAATCCCAGCTACTCAGGGGCTGAGGCATGAGAATCACTTGAACCAGGGAGATGAAGGCTGCAGTGAGCTGCGATCATGCCACTGCACTCCAGCCTGGGTGACAGAGTGAGACTCCTGTCTCAAAAAAAAGAAAAAGAAAAAAAAATGTACATCAATACAATGGTACACTATTTGTTAATAAAAAAGAACAAACTACTGACACATGCTATGTCATGGATAAACCTCAAGAACATGCTAAATAAAAAAATCCAGATACAAATCTGCATTACATGATTCTACTTATATGAAACATCCAGAAAAATTTATAGAGACAGAAAGTAGATTAATGGTTTTTTGGGGCTTAGGGTTGAGATGGGGATTAATATAAATGGGCATAGAGATCTCATTTAAGGGATAAAAATGTCCCAAAACTGATCTACATGATTGTTGCAACACTGAATAAAATTCCTAACAATCATTGAATTTTGTAGTTGAAACAAGTAAGTTTTATGATACATGAAATACAGCTCACTAAGGCTGCTTTTTTAAAAAAAAAGTGATAAAAGTGTGAGTGATTTCAAATAGGTTGGTTCAGGGAAGGCCTCTCCAAGGAGCTGGCAGTTGAGCAGAGACCTGAGTAAAGGAGGGCGTGAACGATGTAGTGATTAGAGAAGAGTGGGCAAGCAGAAGGTAAAGCAAACATACAAGTTTTCAGGGAACTTAACAATTTAGCAGTAACAGATGGTCAACTATTAGAGTAGACTGAACAAGGGAAATAGTGGTAGTAGACAAGATTGGAGATGTAGGCAAGTTTAGGTTTTATTTTGAGCATGAAAGAAGGTCATTGAAATGATTTTTAACCAATTTACTTTTTTAAAAAAGAAAACCTCACTGGCTGCTTTGTAGAGAATCAATAATATTAAGCAAAAACTGGGTGATTGGTTAGGAGACCTTGGAGGTAGATTAGGGTAAAAGCTGGTTTAGGCTTGAACCAGTGATGGCAATGATGTCAGGCCTCTGAGCCCAAGCCAAGCTGTCGCATCCCCTGTGACTTGCACTTGTATGCCCAGATGGCCTGAAGTAACTGAAGAATCACAAAAGAAGTGCAAATGCCCTGCCTCACCTTAACCGATGACATTCCACCACAAAAGAAGTGAAAATGGCCAGTCTTTGCCTTAAGTGATGATATTATCTTGTGAAATTCCTTTTCCTGGCTCATCCTGGCTCAAAAAGCTCCCCCACTGAGCACATTGTAACCCCCACTCCTGCCCGCCAGAAACAATCCCCCTTTGACTGTAATTTTCCTTTACCTACCCAAACCCTATAAAACGGCCCCACCCTTATCTCCCTTCGCTGACTCTCTTTTTGGACTCAGCCCGCCTGCACCCAGGTGAAATAAACAGCCATGTTGCTCACACAAAGCCTGTTTGGTGGTCTCTTCACACAGACGCACATGACAAATGATAAAGGAACTAGAAGAAATTATTTACACAGATGGTGAGGGCAAGAGTCCTTGGCAAGGTTTCCTTTTTTAACTAAAAGCAACCCCCAAATCATTTCTTTTCTAACAAAAAGCGGCCTGAAAAATTGAGCTGCAGACATAGATAAGCAAGCTGGAATTTTGCACAGGTGAATGCTGGCTGCTGTGCCAATAGAAAAGGGCTACCTGAGGACCAGGAATGTTCAACATGGAGGCTCCATCTTCCCTTTTCTTTGTCACCACGTGCACAGTAAAGAATCAGGCAACATGGCAATGGCCAGGTAAAAAACCCATCCAAATAATAAAAGATTAGGGTGGGGCAGCCAGCTTCTTTGAGTGCTATGCGAATGGCATACCTGGTCCAACCAATCGTTCATGCCCTGTATAAATGAGATACTGCCTCCTCAAGCTCATCTATAAAACCTCTTGCATTTCACTATGGAAGTGGCAGTCCATTTTCCCCAGGACTCCTCTCTGC